TCTCCTTTTCCTCTTTTCCTCCATTCTTGGTTGTTCTTTTTCCAGTTTGAAACTCTGTGCTAGGGTGTGTGAAACTTTCTCAGTGATGTTTGCAGAGACAATCTCGGTCTTGCACCGTGGATTGCTAAACAGCGAATTACTGTCAATAACAAACAGCAAAAACACTTCCACACAACCACAAAACCACAAACGCACTGAGCTTTACTCGATGATGCGGGGCTTTGCATACAGTTCAGAACGCATTCTAAATGATGTGATGATGTGATCGATATACTGCAACTATGGTAACAGGACACTTCTCTAAAATGTTTTCCTTTAAAAGAAATGACTGAGGACACATGAACAGGACATAAAAACAAATGTCAGCTGCATAAATCAAGAATCTCTTATTAATAAATAATAAATTCCTTTATAAGAAACAAAAGCTGGTTTATTTTGTGAGTTTAAAAAAAATAATTAATTAAAATTTGATATATTTGATGACAAAGGACTTGAAATCCAATTTTAGATATAAAACCGTTCAGAAGTTAGGGTCGGCAATACTTAAACTATTTGAGTAATATTGTAATAATCATAATTGATATTAAATAATAACATATTAATATTATCGTTATTCTTGTTTTCAGCACCACATAATCCTTGATTTGTCGATCAATAAACTTGTGTAATTAAACGAGTTGAAATAAATTATGGATTTTTTTTATTTCAAAACAAAAAAGCATCATAAATCTGAAACATAAATATAAATAATAGCTTTTTCAGTAATCGTCTTCAATTTAAGCCACATTTATTGTGAATCTGCATTCATTTTTGTCATTTTATTGACAGCTCTGGTCTACATTCATTTACATTGCGAGTTCATATTTAGCTTGTTGTTGTGAACAACATAAGTGTTCAGTGTTTAATAATAAAGTTGGTAAATCATTTAGCCTAAATTCTCATTTTATGGCGTATGTTCTTCTCAGGTACCTCTAGAGGGCAGCATTTACTCGTATTTCATTCCAGTAATTCAGTTCATGCAATCTGTGATTTCAATTGCAATTGTTGAATTATTTCTCCAGTTATTCTATTATTTCACACACGGCCATAATAATAATAATAATAATAATAATAATAATAATGATAATGATAATAATAATGATAATGATAATAATAATGTGATTAGATTCATGGGGCAACACGATAGCTCAGTGTTTAGCACTGTCGCCTCAAAGCAAGCACATCGCTGGGTCAGTTATTGTTTCTGTGTGGAGTTTGCATGTTCTCCCCGTGTTGGCGTGGGTTTCCTCAGGGTTCTCCGGTTTTTTCCAACAGTCCAAAGACATTCGCTGTAGGTGAACTGAATAAAAACTAAATTGCCCACAGTGTATTTGTGTGAGTGAGTGACTGTAGGTGTTTCCCAGTACTGGGTTGCAACTAAAAGGGCACTCGCTGTGTAAAACATATGCTGGATAATTGGCGCTTCATTCCGCTGTGGCGACCCCTGATTATTAAAGGGACTAAGCTGAAGGAAAATGAATGAATGAATTTTTGGGTTTTATATACTTTACAATATTTTCACTAAATGCATCAAATATTCTGCTGTGTAACCTCACTGAATACACGACTGAAGAGTGACGAGTCCTGTTTACTTCTATTCTACACACAGAACTATTAAACAAAATCAGAAAATCGTTTTCAGATGTTTACTAGCTCATTAAAAGACACTGAATTGGAGAAAGGCATGGAGATTATGTTGGTCTATTAGTTAATGAAGTATACATTGTATAGTATTTTTTAGTCTAAAGCAGGGGTCACCAATTCTGTTTCTGGAGAGCTACCTAGAATTCAGCTCTAACCCTGGTCAAACACACCTAAACCATTTAATCAAGACCTGAAGCAGCACTTGATCATTACAGGCAGGTGTGTTTGGTCAAGGTTGGAGCTAAAATCTGCAAGAAGGCAGTTCTCCAGAGCCCGGTTTTTCAAAAGGTTTAATCCGGATAAAATTGATCCTGATTTAGTATTCCTTTTTTTGTGATCCGGGATCACGTAATCCAGCTTACTTTTTGAGCCAGTTTTTCAAAGCAACATCGGATTGGATCAATTTGATCCGGATAGGAACTTTTCAGGATCACTTAATCTGGATAACCAGTGCTCAAACAGGATATGAAATCACACTGTAGAACTAGAGATATGTAAAGAAAAAACAAGTAGAATAGCCAGTGTGGGGTCAATATAAGTTTATTTTTATTTGAAATGAAAACACACACATTAAAAAAATAAAAAATAAGAACAAGAAAAACCCCACCCTATCCTCTTCCATCAGTCCGCTCATCTGACACCTACAACACAAGCACTGTACATTGAGGATATTTATAGCAAGTTTTAAATATAGATGTATTGAATAAAAAAAAAAGACTTAATGTCAAAACCTCCACAATAATTTCAGACTTCCTCTGATGTGGAGAGACCGGCTTGTCTGAGCGTAGCCTTTAGATGGCGGATCTCAAGTCTGGCCTTGGTTTGCTGCAGTTTGGTTAGAGTCAGTTGTTCCTCTGTCAGATGAAGCTGTGCTTCTGCCCTTTCAGTCTCTTTTTGCAATTGTTGAAAGTGATTTCAAAAATCAGTGATTGACATTCTTTGTATTTTTTTGGTTATTTTGTAATCATTGCATGCATCACTACACTGTAAGAAAAAAAAAATCGTAAATAAAAGGTCAAATGACTGGCAGCTACGGCTGCCAAACAAAAAACATAAAATTACGGTCAAATGTCTTTGTTGAAATAAAGTGCAAAAAATAATAAATCTACAAATATTTTCATTAAAATGTTTACAAAAAAACACTGTTATTTTACAGACTTTTACTATATTATTACAATCAAATCCGTTCAATAAAGTAACACAATAAGAGTTTTACAAAGAAACACTGTTATTGTACAGACTTTTCCTAGATTATTATGATCAAACACCATCAATAAAGTGACTGCACTAAAAGTTCAAGAAAAAACAATGTTATTTAAAAGAATTTACCAAAATAATTACGATTAAACACCTTTAATATAATGCCAAGACATGCTCATGATCGTAATTTAACAGTTTTATTTTGGATCAAAAAATTTAGGAAAAAACAACAAACGAGATACAACTGATTAAAATTCTCACAACTTTAAAATTACAGTTGTTACATTTAATTGAATAGTGTTCATGTAAAACATGTAGAGGTTTAAGTTATATGGAATGATTCAGTTACAGATCTTAAATGAAATGGAACTGTAACGTGAAGGGGACGTTGACAAAGGAGGGCAGATCCAAATGCAGCTTTATTACACAGAAGATGGTCAGGCAAACAACAGTCAACACAGGGGCAAACAGATGTAACATTATGCAGGGAATCCAGAGTCATGGTCAAATAATAGGCAAATGGTCAGTCCCGACAGCAAACAACGTAAACAATTAACAAACAAAGCAAGGCAAAAGAAGAGAAATGCATCAATGTTTGCAGTAACAGTATAACAAGACTAAGCAATTGGTCTATGCTGCTTTTAAAGTGCATGTAATCAGTTCATAACGATCCTCCGACTGTGTGTGTGCAATCAGCGGAACAGGTGCATGTGAGTGCACTTAGTGTGTAGCTTTATTGAACAAATTTGATTGTAATAATATAGTAAAAGTCTGTAAAATAACAGTGTTTTTTTGTAAACATTTTAATGAAAATATTTGTAGATTTATTATTTTTTGCACTTTATTTCAACAAAAACATTTTACCATAAGTTTATGTTTTTTGTTGGGCAGCCATAGCTGCCAGTCATTTGACCTTTTTTTACGATTTTACATTATTTTTTACAGAGCAAGTAATTACAATTTATTACTTTAATTTGACGTAATTTTAAATGTACTTCATAAAAAACAGGGAAAAACACTGTGCAAATAATACGGCAATTTTATTGTATGAACAGACAAATTGCTGTAATTTGTCATTAATTATATAGTACATAAAATAGCAGTCAAGCTGTTAATTTACAGATATTGTTTGTAATTTTTACGGATTTTTGAATATAATTTAAAATAACAGAAAAAATACTGTATAAATGATACTGTAATTTCCCTGTATAAAAAACAAAAATGTCAGTAATTTGTCTTTAATGATAAAGTACCTAAAATGAAAGTCAAACTGTGAATTTAGAGAAATTGTTTGTCATTTTACTAAGTTCTACATCTAATTTTAAATGAAAAAAAATTACTGTAAAAAATTTAGGGATATTTTAGGGCTTTTTTACAGTGTAATAAATATTCTGAAAAGAAAAATATTTTCCATTGTGATGATTGTCAGGTGTTTCCTGCAAGATCTGAGGAATGATGCCAGCCGGCTCTTTTTTCTCTTCCTCTCTTTCACCTCCTCGTCTGTTAAAAGAGAAATGATTGTAGTTGACTCACTTTTCCACTGTCATTTGAAAGGAAATTAACATTTACAGTTTTATAACATCCCCTATATTTTACAGCCATAATTTAAAACTAATTTGGCTTTGCTTTAATAGGGACTCTGTAAAATGCAGAATTTGAAGATATTTGAAAAAGTCTTCAGAGCGATTATTAAACTCTGTTCTAAGTTGTTCAAATGATTTCACAATTTCAGAGGTAAACATTCCTGAAAAGTCAGACAAACCTTTCTCACAGCATTTATTAATAACAGGTCTACATTTACTAATGCATTATTAAAACTTGTGCTTGTTAATATTAGTTAATACACTGAATTTTCTGACAGTATATTGAACTTCTCATGACTGTGTATGGAGCACTGAGAATTATACATAAATTTAAATATCTTGATTTGTGTCCAGAAGATTAACAAAGGTCTTAGAGAATTGGAACTACTGTACATGAGGGGGAGTAATTAAAAACAAATATACATTTTTTGGTAAACTAATCCTTTAAGGTCTGTCAATTCAATTCAACTCAATTTGAGTTTGAGTATAATCTGTGGAGACAGCAGAGGGCGCTGTAACATTTGTTTCCCGCGGATCTTACAAACAAACACACGTTTTCCTGCGTCTGGAAATAAGTGTTTCAGATACTTATTTTGTCTTTTCAGCTGAAGTAACACATGTAAGGAGGGTACAATTTTTTATTCTTGTATGATTTCACAGACTTTGCTCTAGGTTTTATTGAATTTGGCCATTTTTATTGTTAACACGAACAAGCTACACCAGGGAACAGTTTGCTCAATGATTCTTTTTTTGTTGCCTCAGCATTAATGAATACAGACAAGCACACATCTTGCTCTTAAATTAATACTTTCTAAGGGATTTTATACAATTATGTATTTGTGGAAATCTGTATTTTGTTTGTTTGTTTGTTTGTTTTCATCAGGCTAGTCAGTTACAAAGCATCTGTTCTAACAAAATCATTTAAGACCATTATAAAATAAGTAAATCCCAATGTACATTTATGAGAAAGCATATATACAACTTTTTGAATCATTACTCTAGTCTTCAGTATCAAATAATCTTTCGGGGGTGCTGATTTGCTGCTTAAGTAACTTTTTTGTATAACTATCAATGTGGAAAAACAGTTGTTTTTTAAACACACCTTTATTAATAATCAAGTACACATTAAAGTCTGGTATAGATATTTATATTGAGGTATTATATTCGCACATTCATTCAGTGGCATCTTGTGTCTAGGCATGGGCCGATACAAGATTCTGACGGTATGATAACCTTGGATAAAAATGTCACGGTTTCACGGTTCCCTGTTTTTGTGATTATTGCTCTAAAATATATTCTTTTCATATGTCCGGGTCTGAAACTTTTTTCCCTTTTGTACACAATATATTTTATTTTGAGAAACATTTAAAATATTTTGGTGCTGTAAACGTGTCAGTTTAAATTATTTAAATAAATCATTGACTTAAAAACACTGATTTATTTACAATTTTAAAGGGCATCTTTGAATATCTTTCTGCTGGACATACTGTTGTCCTAAAAAATAGTACACATACCTTAGGAAAGGTATTGCAAATTTTGATGGTTTTAAAACCTTGATTTTTTTTTCCAAACCTCAGGTATACCTTGAAAACGGTTATCGTCTGCTTGTGACATGGTATTTTGAAAATTCAGTCTGAATTCACATGTAAGAATGACTTGAAATCAACATTAGCACTGTTTATTTGTCTGACAACAATGTTGTAAATTGATAGTCATTGGCTGCTAATAAACAGAATTTGCAAAGAATATTTCTGTGAAATTATATTATTAAGGAGAAAGTGTGAATGTGTAAACATAAAAACTTGACCCCAATGATAGTTTTCATGGTAAATAATTCCAAATAAGAGCTGCTTTTTGGCATATATGTATGTAATTGTATTTAATAACTAAATTTATGTCAGCATGATTTATAATTCCTTAAAAAATTCTATCAAAACATACAAATCACTGTTACAGTAATTGTTATAATTTTTTTATTCCCTTTTACAGTGTCATTCTTTTGCCTGGACTGATGGTGACTGATGAACTTCTGAATCATCCAACGCCTTCATTCTTGTGCACTTTTTGAAGGTAACGCTGGCTATATATGTATATATATGTTGTTGTTGTTGATCAATTTGGGGTCACTTCAAGTGTAATAAGAAATACTTAAAGATATGAGCATGGATTTTCTCACTAGATACATTTTAAGGTATTACTTGATGCTTATTTAGTCTTTAAATGCTCAGTTCTAAATAATAATTACTCAGCATCTCTCTTGTACACTGTGTTATTTCTGTATCTTCTGAAATGCGTTCCCACTGATGACGGTAGATCATTGAGATGCCCTGCTGGAGCATTCTTTCAGAGATCAAATATAATGGTCTGAAATAAGCGGGAACAGATGGACTCAGATCTGTTTTTGGAAGGTTGATGCAAGGGATTTGTATTGTCTAATCACTCTTGAATTAAAAAAAAAGGTTTTCTGTTTTTAGAAGAAGCCTGTTTTTCTAAACAAATTGCATAAATCACATTACAAGCAAAGACCTGGACATGCAGTGGAGAATACTAATATACCTCTAATACATTGTACAAAACAAATAATTTATTTGTACTTAAGCACTTTTGAGATTTTGAGTATGCAGTTTACAATTTATGCAAATATTAAATGTTTGTTTCATTGGAAAAAAAAAACATTGAAAATCTTCAGATTGTAAAATGCAAATTGTATTCTGAGAATCAAACAGTAAATTTCAGATTTTTTGAGATTTCCTTCTCATTTTGTCTTGGATTACAGTAAATAGTTTATTTTCTTTATTTATTGATTTATTTTTTTATTTTGCTTTTTCAATCTTGACCATATCAGTAATGTCAAGCTTTTTTTGATATATATATATTATTGTCATCTCAATCAGAGTTATTAGCCCCCCTGAATTATTCGCCCCCTCTTTATTTTTTCCCCAATTTCAGTTTAACTGAGAGAACATTTTGTCAACTCATTTCTAAACATAATAGTTTTAATAAATAATACCTGATATCTTTTATCTTTGCCATGACAGTAAATAATATTTTACTAGATTTTTTTAAGACTTCTACACAGCTTGAAGTGACATTTAAAGGCTTAACTACGTTAATCAAGTTACCATTATTATGGCGATGCAGTGGCACAGTAGGTAGTGCTGTCGCCTCACAGCAAGAAGTTTGCTGGTTCGAACCTCTGCTCAGCTCAGTTGGCGTTTCTGCGTGGAGTTTAAAATATTATGTTTGTGGTGAAAGTGTCAATTTAAAGTTGCTGCTTAATCTGAGGCATTCTGATGTTGTGCTGATTTTATTAGTTCTCTAATGGAATTACCAAATGAGTCAAATTAAACAAACCATACTAGACAGATAGTGTTTTGTGTTCAGCATGTGGCTTGCGGTCAGTAATCGTTACAGAGAAAACAATTTTCAGATTGTTTCCACAACACTTACAGAGGAAAACTACAGCCTATTCTAGACTCAGAGACGGAACTAGAACTACTTAAAGTGTAAACAAACCCAGACATAAATAAAGCAACAAACAAACAAATAGATCAAATGTGTAAATGAGCTTTTTTGTTGCCCCTTCAATAATCTTTTTATAATAGTAGCGCCGCCATCTAGTGGTGAAAAACTGAGACGGTTGTTGCAAAATCTTGAGGTAAAAATGTGTTCAGACAGTTGAAGTCAGAATTATTCGCCCCCCTGTTTAGTTTTTTCCTCAGTTACTGTTTAACGGAGAGATTTTTTTTCAACACATTTCTAAGCATAATAGTTTTAATAACTCATCTCTAATAACTGATTTATTTTATCTTTGCCATGATGACAGTAAATAACATTTGACTTGATATTTTTAAGACACTTCTATACAGCTTAAAGTGACATTTAAAGGCTTAACTAGGTTAATTAGGTTAACTAGGCAGATTAGGTAATGAGGCAAGCTATTGTATATCGATGGTTTGTTGTGTAGATTATCTAAACAATAAAGCTTAAAGGGGCTAATAATTTGGTCCTTAAAATTGTTTAAAAAAAAATTAAAAACTGCTTTTACTCCAGCCGAAATAAAACAAATAAGACTTTCTCCAGAAGAAGAAATATTATCAGACATACTGTGAAAATATTGACACAGTGGCGCTTCAGGCAGTGCTGTCGCCTCACAGTAAGAAGGTCACTGGTTCGAGCCTCAGCTGGGTCAGTTGGCGTTTCTGTGTGGAGTTTGCATGTCCTCCCTGCATTCGCGTGGGTTTCCTCCGGGTGCTCCAGTTTCCCCCACAGTCCAAAGACATGCGGTACAGGTGAATCGGGTAGGCTAAATTGTATTTAGTGTATGAGTGTGAATGAGTGTGTATGGATGTTTCCCAAAGATGGGTTGCAGCTGGAAGAACATCCGCTGTGTAAAAACATGCTGGATAATTTGGCGGTTCATTCCGCTGTGGCGACCCCGGATCAATAAAGGGACTAAGCCGAAAAAGAAAATGAATGAATGAATGATTTATTTTCTACAACACCAGACACACAAGAGTTCATTTTTAAACAGATAAACAAAACAGACAGGGACACATTTTTAATGCATTTCTTTATTGTTTTTCTCCCTCTTCCATCATCCCCTCATCCTCCTCCTTTTATTTCTCCTCCTCATCATTCTTCTGCTCATCCTGCTGCTTATTTTCTGCTTTCGATTTCTCTTCTTCACCTTCTCCTCCTCCTCCTCCTCCTCCTCCTCCTCCTCCTCCTCCTCCTCCTTTATCTCCTCTTTCATGTCCATCATCTCCATGTCCTCCTCCTCATTCTTCTTCATCTCCTCTTTCCTCCTGCTCCTTCTCTCCTTCTTCTCCTCTTTCTTCCTAATCCTTCTCCTTTTCCTTTCCTTCTTCTTCCCCTCCTTCTTAATCGTGCCGCCCTCCTCCTCCTTCTCCATCATCATCTCCTCCATCTTCTCCTCTTTTATCATTCTCCCTTTCCTTCCATCCTCCTCCTCAATCTTGCCCTCCTCCTTCTTGTCCATCATTGTCTCCTCCGTTTTCTCCTGCTCTTTCTTCCTTCTCCTTCTCCTCTTCTTCTCCTTCATCTCCTCTTTAATCTTGCCCTCCTCCTCCTCTTGTTCTCCACAGTATGAAGTAGTTTTCTTCATTAATATTTCTCCTTGGCTGACATTTATCTCATCTTCCACACAAGGCTCTCTGTGTATCACGGGAGTCACTATGATTTGATGATGCTCAATCGTTGAGTTGCGCAGAAAGTCATCTGTTAAAAGAGAAATGAAGTGGTTACACATTTTACAAAGTGATTTTCAACAAGATGTTAAAGTTTACAATTTATTAATAGCAGTATAGACTGATATGTTGATGTAAACATGTTCATTTACCATCAGCGCCTTTGGGTGGAGAGATTGGGAGATCTATTTGCTCTTCCTCCTCCTCTTCATTCTCCAGCTCGATTTCTTTATTAGGGGTGAGGCAGGAGATTGTCAGGTGTTTCCTGCAAGATCTGAGGAATGATGCCAGCCGGCTCTTTTTTCTCTTCCTCTCTTTCACCTCCTCGTCTGTTAAAAGAGAAATGATTGTAGTTGACTCACTTTTCCACAGTCATTTGACAGGAAATTAACATTTACAGTTTTTATAACATCCCTTATTATATATAAATTAAAATATCTTAATTTGTGTCCAGAAGATTAGCAAAGGTCTTAGAGGATTGGAACTACTGTAGATGAGGGGGAGTAATTAATAACAAATATACATTTTTTGGTAAATTAATCCTTTAAGGTCTGTCAATTATGGGTCTAACAAGAGCCTAGACAGCCCAAAAACTGGACAGAAGGGGGCTTAAATAATCGGAAGTCAGGAAAACCCCTGAATAATCAAATTACAGTGTGAATATGACTCACCATGGCCATTTTCAGGCATTTGTTCAAGCTGTGCTGTGTTTTTGCCAGCTTTGAGGAAAGAGGGTATCTTGAAAAATCTCCTTTTCCTCTTTTCCTCCATTCTTGGTTGTTCTTTTTCCAGTTTGAAACTCTGTGCTAGGGTGTGTGAAACTTTCTCAGTGATGTTTGCAGAGACAATCTCGGTCTTGCACCGTGGATTGCTAAACAGCGAATTACTGTCAATAACAAACAGCAAAAACACTTCCACACAACCACAAAACCACAAACGCACTGAGCTTTACTCGATGATGCGGGGCTTTGCATACAGTTCAGAACGCATTCTAAATGATGTGATGATGTGATCGATATACTGCAACTATGGTAACAGGACACTTCTCTAAAATGTTTTCCTTTAAAAGAAATGACTGAGGACACATGAACAGGACATAAAAACAAATGTCAGCTGCATAAATCAAGAATCTCTTCATAATAAATAATAAATTCCTTTATAAGAAAGAAAAGCTGGTTTATTTGTGAGTTTAAAAAAATAATTAATTAAAATTTAATATATTTGGTGACAAAGGACTTGAAATAAAGGTTTTGTGAAACCCAAATCCAATTTTAAATATAAAACCGTTCAGAAGTTAGGGTCGGCAATACTTAAACTATTTGAGTAATATTGTAATAATCATAATTGATATTAAATAATAACATATTAATATTATCGTTATTCTTGTTTTCAGCACCACATAATCCTTGATTTGTCGATCAATAAACTTGTGTAATTAAACAAGTTGAAATAAATTATAGATTTTTTATTGATTTCAAACCAAAAAAGCATCATAAATCTGAAACATAAATACAAATAATAGCTTTTTCAGTAATCGTCTTCAATTTAAGCCACATTTATTGTGAATCTGCATTCATTTTTGTCATTTTATTGACAGCTCTGGTCTACATTCATTTACATTGCGAGTTCATATTTAGCTTGTTGTTGTGAACAACATAAGTGTTCAGTGTTTAATAATCAAGTTGGTAAATCATTTAGCCTAAATTCTCATTTTATGGCGTATGTTCTTCTCAGGTACCTCTAGAGGGCAGCATTTACTCCTATTTCATTCCAGTAATTCAGTTCATGCAATCTGTGATTTCAATTGCAATTGTTGAATTATTTCTCCAGTTATTCTATTATTTCACACACGGCCATAATAATAATAATAATAATAATAATAATAATAATAATAATAATAATAATAATGATAATGATAATAATAATTTGATTAGATTCAGGGGCAACACGATAGCTCAGTGGTTAGCACTGTCGCCTCCAAGCAAGCACATCGCTGGGTCAGTTATTGTTTCTGTGTGGAGTTTGCATGTTCTCCCTGTGTTGGTGTGGGTTTCCTCTGGGTGCTCTGTTTTTTCCAACAAGCGTGGATTTCATGCTCAAAATGTAATGAAAATTTTAAAAATCTATCAAAAAATACTATACTTGGATCATGCAGTATCTTACAAGATATCCTATTTATTTATAAGGTTTTAATTTTTTTTGTTCATCCATCAGGCTATAGTAATTAGGTAGGCTTCATCATAAACAGCCTTTCAGTACAGGCCTACAGCAAATTAACAAGAGTTTGGCCTCATAAAATAATCCCCCAAACAGCTGTCAAAATTGACCAAAAACAATACATTTTATTCTGTCACTAGTTGATATATATATATATATATATATATATATATATATATATATATATATATATATATATATATATATATATACAATGGTAAATATTTTTCTTTTCAGAATGTTTATTAGTGATGCATGCAACGATTACAGAATAACCCAAAAAATACAAAGAATGTCAATCACTGATTTTTGAAATCACTTTCAACAATTGCAAAACGAGACTGAAAGGGCAGAAGCACAGCTTCATCTGGCAGAGGAACAACTGACTCTAACCAAACTGCAGCAAACCAAGGCCAGACTTGAGATCCGCCTTCTAAAGGCTACGCTCAGACAAGCCGGTCTCTCCACATCAGATGAGGAAGACTGAAATTATTGTGGAGGTTTTGACATTGTCTTTTTTTTTCTTCAATACATCTGTATTTAAAACTTGTTATAAATATCCTCAATGTACAGTGCTTGTGTTGCAGGTCTCAGATGAGCGGACTGCTAGAACAGGATAGGGTGGGGTTTTTATTTTATTTTATTTTTATTATTTTTAAATGTTTGTTTTTTCATTTCAAATAAAAATAAAGTTATATTGACCCCACACTGGCTATTCTACTTGTCACTCTTTACATATCTCTAGTTCTACAGTGTGATCTTGTTTGAGCACTGGTTATCCAGATTTAGGGATCTTGAAAAGTTCTTATCCAGATCAAATTGATCCAACCCGATGTTGCTTTGAAAAACTGGCTCAAAAAGTAAGCTGGATTACGTGATCACGGATTGCAAAAACAAGATTACTAATTTCGGATCAATTATATCTGAATTAAACGTTTTGAAAAAAACGGGCCCTGATGGGATCAGTTTAATCCAGATTTTTTTGGATCAAAGTGATCTAAATCCTCCTAAAAAGGTTTGAAAAACCCAAACTTAAGGTTTGATCTGGATCAAAACCAAGATTGGATTATGTGATCTAATCCAATTATGTAATCCGTTTTTTCTTTTGAAAAACCCATTTTCAAGATTTGACCCAATTTGTTATCCAAAATCCTAGTGGATTACTTTTGTAAAACCGGGCCTACAAGGTTGCTGACCCCTTATATATAGACTTAAATTCAATTTATTTATTTATTTTTAACTGTTTTTAAAGTGTATGTTATTTTAAAAAACATTGAATAATTTTGTATATTGTGAGGTTTATTTCTAGTTACCCAAATCAAACATTCCATGTATTCTGAAATGTTTACGTTTGAGTCAGGGTTTGAGTTTGAGTATAATCTGTGGAGACAGCAGAGGGCGCTGTAGCATTTGTTTCCCACGGATCTTACAAACAAACACACGGTTTTCATCCTATTGATTCTTTTTTTTTTTTTTTTTTTTTTTCATTAGATTAGGCTAGTCAGTTACAAAGCAACTGTTCTAAAAAAAATCATTTAAGACCATTATATAAAATAAGTATATATAACACTTTTGGAATCATTACTCTAGTCTTCAGTATCAAATAGTCTTTCAGCAGTGCTGATTTGCTGCTTAAGTAACTTTTTGTATAACTATCAATGTGGAAAAACAGTTGTTTTTTAAACACACCTTTATTAATAATCAAGTACACATAAAAGTCTATTAAAAGGTGGTATAGATATTTATATTGAGGTATTATATTCGCACATTCATTCAGTGGCATCTTGTGTCTAGGCATGGGCCGATACAAGATTCTGACGGTATGATAACCTTGGATAAAAATGTCACGGTTTCACGGTTCCCTGTTTTTGTGATTATTGCTCTAAAATATATTCTTTTCAAATGTCCGGGTCTGAAACTTTTTCCCCTTTTGTACACAATAGATTTTATTTTGAGAAACATTTAAAATATTTTGGAGCAGTAAACGTGTCGGGCTAAATATTTAAATGAATCATTGACTTCTGCTCTCTTCAATTGCTTTAAAAACACTGATTTATTTACAATTTTAAAGGGCATCTTTGAATATCTTTCTGCTGGACATACTGTTGTCCTAAAAAATAGTACACATACCTTAGGAAAGGTAGTGCAGAAAATTTTGATGATTTTAAAACCTTGATTTTTCCAAACTGCAGGCATACCTTGAAAACAGAAGTTTTCGTCTCATGCCTACCTGTGACATGCTCCCTATATTGTTACCATGGTATTTTGAAAATTCGGTCTGAATTCACATGTAAGAATGACTTGAAATCAACATTAGCACTGCTTATTTGTCTGTCAACAATGTTGTAAATTGATAGTCATTGGTTGCTAACATATAGAATTTGCAAAGAATATTTCTGTGAAATTATATTATTAAGGAGAAAGTGTGAATGTGTAAACATAAAAACTTGACCCCAATGATAGTTTTCATGGTAAATAATTCCAAATACGAGCTGCTTTTTGGCATATATGTATGTAATTGTGTTTAATAATTTGATTTTATGTCATTATTTTTTAAAGAAATTATAAATCATGAAAACATACAAATCACTGTTACAGTAAAAGTATTTTTTTTTTATTCCCTTTTACAGTGTCATTCTTTTGCCTGGACTGATGGTGACTGATGAACTTCTGAATCATCCAACACCTTCATTCTTTTGCACCTATTGAAGGTAACGCTGGCTATAAATGTAAATATATGTTGTTGTTGTTGATCAATTTGGGGTCACTTCAAGTGTAGTATTGAAATACTTAAAGATATGAGCATGCATTTTCTCGCTAGATGCATTTTAAGGTATTACTTGATGCTTATTTAGTCTTTAAATGCTCAGTTCTAAATAATAATTACTCAGCATCTCTCTTGTACACTGTGTTATTTCTGTATCTTCTGAAATGCGTTCCCACTGATGACGGTAGATTTGAGATGCCCTGCTGGAGCATTCTTTCAGAGATCAAATATAATGGTCTGAAATAAGCGGGAACAGATGGACTCAGATCTATTTTTGGAAGGTGATGCAAGGGAATCTGACGAGTGCTTCGAAGTTTGCGTTGCAATCTTGGTTGCTTTCCAGTAATTTTTAGAATCTGAATTAAGTATTGATGTTTGTTGTGGTATTGTCTAATCACTCTTGAATTAAAAAAAAAAAAAGGTTTTCTGTTTTTAGAAGAAGCCTGTTTTTCTAAACAAAGTGCATAAATCATATTAAAAGCAAAGACCTGGACATGCAGTGGAGAATACTAATATACCTCTAATACATTATACAAAACAAATAATTTATTTGTACTTAAGCACTTTTGAGATTATAAGTATGCAGTTTACAAATTCTGCATATATTAAATGTTTGCAAAAAAAAAAATAAAAACAGGAAATGTTCAGATTGCAAAATGCAAATTGTATTCTGAGAATCAAACAGTAAATTTCAGATGTTTTGAGATTTCCTTTGTATTTTGTCTTAGAACACAATAAATAGTTTTTCTTTCTTTATTTTTTTATTTAGCTTTTTCAATCTTGACCACATCAATAATGTCAAGCTTTTTTTCGATATACTCTACATAAGTCAGAATTATTAGCCCCCCTGAATTATTAGCCCCGCTTATTTTTTCCCAAGTTTTTGTTTAACAGAGGGAAGATTTTTTTTTTGGCCCATTTCTAAACAATATGATTTTAATAACTCATTTCTTATAACTGATATCTTTTTTTCTTTGCCATGATGACAGTAAATAATGTTTTACTATATATTTTTAAGACACTTCTATACAGCTTAAAGTGACATTTAAAGGCTTAACTAGGCTAATTAGATTAACTAGGCAGGTTAGGGGAATTAGGCAAGTTATTGTATAATGATGGTTTTTTCTGTAGACTATTGAAAAAATGTAGGTTAAAGGGGCTAGTAATTTTGACCTTAAAATGGTTTTTAAAAAAATAAAAACTGCTTTCATTCTGGCCAAAGTAAGACTTTCTCCAGAAGAAAATATTATCAGACATTCTGTGAAAATTCCCTTGCTCTGTTAAACATCATTTGGGAAATATTAAAAAAAAAGAAGAAAAAATCAAAGCAGGGCTAAAAATTCTGACTTCAACTGTATATAGTAAATGATTTGTCTTATTATTTATTATTATTTTTTTTTTTGCTTTTCGATCTTAAACATATCAGTAATGTAAATATTTTTTTATTTATTTGTAGTGAATGATTTGTCTTTATTTTATTATTAGCTGCTTTTTTTAAATTCTTGAACATATTAATAATGTTAAACTTTTTTACTTATTTGGAGTTTAAGATTTGTCTTTATTGATTTATTATTATTATTAATATTATTATTATTATTAATTGTTTTGCTTTTTGATCTTGAGCAAGTCATGTCAACCTTTTTGATTAAATATAGTGGATGGTTTGTCTTATTTATTAATTATTATAATTATTATTATTGTCATTATTTATTTATTTTTGTTGCTTTTTAATCTTAGGCATATCAGTAATGTCAAGCTTTTTTGATTATATATAATGCATGATTTGTCTTTTATTCATTATTATTATTATTTATTATTTATTTTTATTATTTGTTGCTTTTTGATTTTGAACAAATCAGTTATGTCAACCTTTTCTGATTATATATGGTGGATGGTTTGTCTTTGTTTTTTATTTATTTAATATTATTATTATTATTATTATTATTATTTTATTTTTATTATTTTTTTGCTTTTTGATCTTTAACATGTCAATAATGCCAGGTTTTTTTATTTATATTTAGTGAATGATTTGTCTTCATTTTATTATTATTTGCTTTTTCAATCTTGAACATATCAGTAATGTCAAACTTGTTTGCTTCTGTGTAGTGTAAATTTTGTCTTCATTTATTTTATTATTATTATTATTAGTAGTAGTAGTAGTAGTAATTTTTCTGCTTTTTGATCTTGAACAAATCAGTTATGTAAAACTTTTTTTAATATATATAGTTTGTCTATTTATTTTTAATTATTTTCAGATTATTACTATATATTTTTTATAATCATTTATTTTGCCTTATCTCAACATATCAGTAATCTCAAACTTGTTTGATTAGATATGATCTATAATTTGTTGAGTGTCTTGACTGTATGTTTCCAGTAGGTGGAGCTGTTTACTCATTCTCATTCTGACCATGGTAAGAGTACCTCCTAAAAACATACATTAGTATATCAGCTTTTCTTAACTATTTAATTGTAAGGCGGATGTGTAGATTATGCAAGACATTTTTTTTTTGTTCTTAGTAGCTTTAGTCTGTGTGTATTAGTCACATTGCAGGAAGAACTAAAAGCTATAAAGATGAAATGCATGTTATGGGACTGCTTCATAATCTGCTCTAAAAACCAATGTTATTTGCGTAAACACAACGGTTCAAGCCTGTCATGAACATGTGCTGCACCACGGCTCTGACAGAGAGCGTCTCGTTTGAAAGAATCCTCGCCAGATGTCTGACCCGTATTCTCTCAAACCCCTGCTGCCAAATGCTCTTAGTTAACAATGAAAATGACCTAAATTAGTGGAATACAACATCTTAAAGTGACAGATCCACCCCTAAAATTACCAATCTGTCTTCATTTACTAGCACTCATGTTGTTGCATATACTCAGATGCTCCAACAGGAACTTAAAAGCTGTTTAATTCAAATGTGTGTGATAAGCTGTGCAATTTGCTTGAGGAACATATTTAAAAAAAAGTTTATTTTTTCCACTTTCCTTTTTCCAGAGCTCACATTTACATCTGGCTGTTTAGAAGACGCTGTTATCTATAGACACTTTTAGATGGAGGCAAAAGATTTAACATTTGAGATTCAACAGTACTTTCAGCAGTAAATTAGGTTCCAGGAGATAAAAAAGACCAAAAAATGTCATTTGTAAATAATGGCAAGGCAAGTTTATTTATGTGGCACATTGGTAATTCAAAGTGCTTTACATAAACACGAATAAAAGATAAGAAAATAAAAACAACAAAGAATTAAAATGTTTAAAATCAAATAAAAATGTGTTAAACAGGTTTTAAAAGAATAAAAAAGAAAAGAAAGACAGAATAGTGCTATCTGTGGGATTTAGCACAGTGCTCATTCAGTAAAGGCACAGCTAAGCAGATGTGTTTTCAGTCATGATTTGAATGTGCTTAATGTTGGAGCACATCTGGTCATTTCTGGAAGCTGATTCCAGCAGTGGGGGGTGCAGTAGCTGAAAGCGGATTCACCCTGCTTTGACTGAACTCTTGGAATTTCTAATTTACTTGGTCGTAATGATCTGAGTGATCTGCTATAGGTTTGTATTCAGTGAGCATATCTGTAATCTATTGAGGTTCTAGGCCATTTAATGATTTATAGAAAAGTAATAATACTTTTAAATCTATTCTGAATGTAACTGAGAGCCAGTGTAAGACCTGAGGACAGATGTGACAGGTATCGTTTTTGACTGATACAAATTTTAATATACAATTGTATTCCAGTGTATCCCAATTCCAATATTTGTGAGTTTTTTTTTTTTGTTATTGTCATTAATCTAAATGTATTTTTATGATTTAATTGAGCAATTACACATGCGGTGCAATGATCATTATTGTCTATTTCTAATATTATTGTCTGACATTTTTATATTTTTTATTTTCCTTTTCGATCTTGAACATCTTTAATGTCAAACTTTTTTCATTATATAGTGGATGATTTGTCTTATTTATTAATTATTTCATTTGGTCTTAGAAAGTGTGTAACTGTTCTAATGTTAGATTTCGTTGCAGACACTGTTCAGCTAAGAGGCTCCTTTCATAACTAGGCCTGTCACAAAAATCAATCAAAAAAATCAATCAATCAATCGACTTATCGTGCAATACTTGGGGATGACCTCAATATTTTTTGCCATTTCAATATACATTTGCAAATTCACAAATAATGTTTACAATGACATTTACATTCTACCTCACTGGTGTCTGTTTATAATTGGACATTTACCTAATAGAACATTTAATAGTGTATATAATAGGACATTTACCTTTTTAACATCAAATTATAGGATCTAAATAACCTGAATAATAATAAGTATTTTAAAGTGTTTAGGGCTATTTCCATTATTATGATGTTATTTAATCATTATTTAATCAGTGGCATAAAATAATCTCAAAATGACAATATTATCGACAATATTATCGCAAAAATTTCTGTGACAATTGATCACACAACTAAAAATTTTATTTGTGGCAAGCCTTAATTTATTTATGAAGAAACCTTTAGTTAGCTATATCTGCTTTTTTTGATGGTGTAGTTAATATTTTGATGATTGTAAAAAAGTAGTTTGATAAATACTGGCAGCTGATGCTTTTCAGATTTTCAGGATTAATCATTGCTTTAGCACTAAGGGTGTGCAATATTGACCCAAATGACTGTATTTTTAGCTGGAAGTGCCAAGTATCTGTCTTAATTGGTGGTTTACTTAGTCATTCGATCAAATTATTTGCTCACAAATGCTGATTAATGTGGAAACGAAGTCACTTATCATTGACTTATTGACTCATCTGTCATCATTGACATGATTTGTTCAGAAACAGATAAATCAATACATTCTAAAGTCTGTCGTGTTGAGACACATAAATGTTTAACACATACTCAATGGAAATATGTGCTTCAGTCTACATTTTACGCTCCTCGCACCCCACCGATCTGC